CCTATCTTCCTTTCCTATTGGCCAACAGTGCTTTATTATTAACCAGTATGAGAAACATATACAAAATGAAATCTCCCATCAGGACCCTCTATTGCTACACAAAAGGAGACATATACTGATTTCTATTGAGAATATTCAGAATGAGAGAGATGACTTTCAAGGAACTTGACAGCATTCGTTTAAATTATTGGATTAATCCAGGTCTTGATTCCAGTGTTTAATTTTGGTACAAAGTAGAATAGTATTTAGAAGTATCTTTAAGTAGTTTTGTATAACGGCAAAATTATAAAGTACAATACTTATAGTTATAAAAAGAACTTTTAAACTTTTAGTTAATAAATGGTATAAGACCAGATTATTATAGTGCTCTTATTAGATTTAAGAACATATTAGATCTCTATATCATCAAGGTAAAACCTCTCAAGTCTATATTCATAGGGATTATCATTTTGAAAATAAATTACAGAGATGTTCAAGCATGTGTTATTTAGGTATTTTTCTCTGTAGGGAAATCTGTACAAAATGGTTAGAACTCACTTACCCTTATCACATTCATGGAACCTAGGGCCTAAATCTGATAAATGTTGGTATTTTAAACATGTTTCTCATTTCATTTTCCATGAGAAATCAAATATTGATCAAACATATACAAAAGAAGCAGAATTGTATTCATAGCTAGGGTTTCCATTACTGCAGTGAAATATCATAGCCCAAAGGTAAGTTAGGTAGGGAAGGATTTATTTGGTTTATATTTCCACATCATAGTCCACCATTGGAGGAAGTCAAAATAAGAAGTCAAGAGGGCTGAAACACAGAGTATGCACTTGATGTATAGACCATGGATTACTGTTTACTGGCTTACCTTTCCTGACATGTTCAGGCTGTTTTCCTATAGAAACCATTACCACTGACCCATGGATGGCATTACCCACAGTGGGGTAGGCCATCCTGTTTTGATCACTAACTGAGAAAATGTCTTACATCTGGATGTCATGGAGGCGTCTCCTCAACTGAGGCACTTGCCTCTCTGAATACACTAGCTTGTGTAAAGTTGACATATAAAACCAGACACTACTGTGAGTTTTATAAATAATTTGTTTTTGTGACAGGTCAAAGATATGTGTTTACAGGAACTGTTTGGAAGACTTTATTACATATGATTACTTTTAGAAAGTTCTGGGTCTTGTTTGAATTCTATATGTTCATAGGGGTTTGAGAACATGGAGAGATTTAAAAACAAAACAAAGTGAGCTTAGTTAAAAAAAAAAAAAAAAAAAAACACCTGAGCTAACAGAATTCATGGCTATGTCCAAACTGCAGGGAACTTTCAAGAACATCCACAGGAGATAACAGAGAGAAAGTGTGTGAGTCTATTCAAGATTCACTATTATGAAAACATATATAGTAAATGGTATGTTAGCAGGGGAAGAAAGAGACTAAAGATGGTTGATGTGGATTAGAATCTTGCCAGGACCCAGAGTCACTCAAGATCAGGGAAAAGCAGAAGGAAAAAAAAAGATTTTTGTTTTTTGTTTTTTGTTTTTTTTTGTATTTTTTATTATTTGTATTTGAAGGATTGCTCCAGTTTGATATATCTAATCAAGTGAATTTTCTTAGTGAAAACAGAATTATTATAATTGTTATAATTTACTTTTATCTCACAATTCCACCAAGATGGAATATATATATATATATATATATATATATATATATATATATATATATATCGGATGTTACTTAAGCAGGAAATTGCCATATACAATGAAAATGAGAAATACTAAAGGATACTGTTGGTTTATCAATCATTTATTTATCTATCTTTGTACATCTCTATATATTATAATTTACTTATCTTTGTATAACTATCATTATCAACTATGTATGTATCATCTATCTGTTATCTAGCCATTTACATATCTATACCTATCAATGTATCATCTACTGCCATATATCTATCTATCTATCATCTTTCTATCCATCATAAAACATCTATATTATTTATGTATGTATGATTATAGCATCTATCTAGAATCTATTCATCTATCATTTTTCTATGAGCAATCATTTATCTACCATGTATCTACCTGAAAAGTCCCTAACATCCTGGTAAGCCTCCCATCAATGCAACAATTCAAATTAAGCCAAATCAAACCAAATTAGAAAAGCCCATGTTTAATGGATATAGTGCTCCCAAATGACCTTCCAGTCCCCAAGAGAGGAAGTGGGTAAGGGAGATCAGAAAAACCACAAGTCTGTTCTCTAGGAGACAGTTGAATATCTCTAGGGGAGGGGCCATTATTTGCCTAGCATTTTGAAATATAGCAGGGCTTGGAGGGAGATGAGGGAATGAGAATTGTGGAACCTCCACCATAATATTTGGGTATGTGCACAACACATCATGCCTGGCTTCTTACTGCTGACAAGAAATGATGTGTGAGAGGAGGAGAGTAGGGAGTTGGTAATTTCATCTTCAGCAGGTGAAGAAGCATTCCATTAGCTGCCATCCTGTAGATGTCAGTCACCTATTCCATGAGGAGACAACAAAGACATGTTGCTAGAAGAAAAATAAAATAGATTGTTATCATTGGCCCTATGAATAGGCTAGCCATGGGAAAAAAAAATGGAGAAATGTCCTGGTAGTACAGAAGAGGCAAGGGTGAATGAGTGAGACAGAAGAGCAGATGTGTCTTTAATTGGTACACCTTGGAACACCAGAGGGTCAAGGGTGCTAGCTATTGGATAGACCTGTCCTGAAGTATCCTGAAGACTGGATAGGTGATACTAATAGTGAAGTCCCAGGAACAGGTATAGGATTATCTGAAAGATCCTCTGTAAATTGGCCTTGGCCTGAGCAGGAGTAGACCTGAAAGATATGCGCAAAAATGGCTGGGATAAAAATAAGATCTAGAGACTGTTTTTTTTATCAGACCAGATTTCATGATATAGAAGAACTTCTTTCAGGAAATTACAGGTATCTGTAAGACAGCAGGAATATATTTACATCTTGGTGTTGTAGTAAAAGTCTATGCTTTCTGTTAAAGAGCATGAACATTTTTAGAAAACAACCAGAAGTAATTTAAAACTCTGAACCTCTGAAGTTACATCTCAAACCTGTTAGTCCCTGACTATGAAGCCTATAAAAGAGGTACACCTGTCTGTACTTTTAGTAGCAAACATAACGAATGAACTAATGAGCTACAGGTACCCCAATAATCAAACACCATCAGATCTGAGAGGGAGAAGTAGATGAGCATTAGTGAGACAGCTTTTTGAGCTAAAACAGTCCCAAGTTTTACAGAAATGGGAAGGAGGGTGTCCCATCCATCCCCATGACAGGAAATGAAGAGGGAACTGTGAGACCAAAACAGCTCCTGAGTCCAAAAGAAAAGTAATGGACTTACCTGCTATATGCAGTGTTGCCCTAAGCTGGCAGAGGGCACTGGGAGTCACCAAGTCTGGACTGCATCAGTCCTCCACCAGGCTGAGTCATGGGAAGTCTGTGACAATCTCAGCTGCTAGTGTTGGTGAGGCTAGACCTCCTTGGCTTGTCATAGAAGACAAGCTCTCATAGAGGTATTCTAATTTTCAGTATCCAGGCTGATGATAGACAGGGCAAAGTCTTGTAAATGGCTGAGAATCCAGGCAATATCTTGCCATATGACCATCTTGCCACATTTGTTGCAGACTCCTAGAGGAGTTGACTTGGGTTTGAAAGAGTTAAACTAGCAAAGAAATGAAATGAAACCCAAATAATTGGAATACCAGGCAGTCTGACCCAGAAAGATGACCAAGGCCATTGTGACTTAGTTCCTGGAATTTGCTAACCACTGGGCCTAAGATAGCAGGATACCAAGAATTTACACTGCCCCTCCTTTCAGTGTGTCAGCAAGGGTCCTTAAGAAACAAAGAGATAGCTGCAACTCCAGTTTGCCCAGACAAGATTAATTAGCACACCCGAAGGCCCTAAGGTCTGCTGATCCTAACAATGAGACCATCCCAGCCTCAAAGGGTCACATGTTCAATGGACAAAGAGTCATACCCACTCCCTAAGCTTGTGGGTTTTTCCTTTAAAAATGCCTATGCCTGGAGAATGATTCTTCTCTCCAGCCTGTGTGCTGATTGGGCCTGTTTGTGCAAACATTTCCTGTTCATTAAAGCCTCTTGCATGTTGCATCAACTGGACCAGCCATTGAGTTCTTGGGGGTACTGACCAAAACTAGGACACTCCTCCTTCTGAGGGTCTTACAGGTTGACCTCCAGGAGGATGGAACGTCATGGTGGTCAACCTCCCTTATGCCCCTTGTGGCCTCAATGCAGCTGCTAATGTTTAGTCTGGGTGTATGTCCTTGTCTTGGGAGAGGCTTATCTGGGTCTAGAAACTTTTCTGGTGAAGGTTCCACCAAGAGGGTCTGTTTATCCCCCCACTAGCCCAGGGCTACATAGTGGGAAATCACTCCTTCCCCACACCTGCTCTCCACTAGGGTTGGATCTGATTTTGAATGGGTAAATTATCCTTTCCAAGTCTTTGCCTAAGAGGCACAGGACCTGCTGTGATTTCCGGGGTGTCCTGCAAAAGACACAGCTATGCCAGTACCCTGGCCATTATTGGGATAAAGATGTACCTTGTCCATTGGGAACCCTTCTTCAGAAGACGTTCTGTTCTAGAGATTCTCTCATGCCACTTTTATTTTTTGACCCAAGGCCTATCACAGTGAACACATTGTGTTAAGCTTTAGGTTCTGACATAGACTTATGAAATGAGCACCTGCTATTTGAAACCAGATTCCCAAAAGCCCTTGAAGCCTTTTGCAAAATTTTTTAAATTGGCTATATCTGACACCATATGTCTTAAATGCCTGGCTTCTCTGTGTACTAAGGCATGGCCCCAATATGTTCTTGACAATGGGACATGATGGCCACTGGAGGGAACTTTTGATTTTACCATCCTCAGTGATCTTGAAATTTTTGCCAGCAAAATGTTGGAGGCTACAAGGGATACAATGGAAGTCGACCATCACAAGGCTTCCACCCCACTGGAGTTCAACCCAAGTCAACTCCAACAGGAGCCTGTTACAAATACAGACAAGATGGTCATTTGGCAAGATATTGTCTTGACCCTCAACCATGGAGGATGCTGGGGTCCATCTTCTGTTGTCAGCCTGAATACTGGGGATCAGAATGCCCCCATGTGGCTCATTCTCTATGCCAAGCCATGGAGGGGAGATCCAGCTTCACAAACACTGGTAGCTGAGATTGTGACAGCCTTTGAACTATGCAGTCTGCCAGAGTGTTGTGCCCAGGGCAAGAAGGTTCCCAAAGAGACCAGGGAGACAGACCCACCACAGCAAATTCACAAGGTTTATTGATTGCTATATCCTTCTGAGGGAAGGACTCTATCCACCAATCTGACACAGCAGCCTCCAGAGGAAGTGTCCTCTTTGTCTATTGCTATGATTTTAAAGGAAATACTTCAGAGTTACATCAGAGGGAGAAGGGAGAGATGGTGGGCTCCTGATTGGGGAGCAGACAAGAAATTATTCAAAGTCATATTTTTGGAAAGCAATACCTGTGTACCCATTAGTCTGTGCTGGAAAGGGACATGTAACTATGACATGTGGGCAGCCTATACCCACAATACTTTTCAGAGTTGAATTTCCTGGAGACTACATGGAAGTTTCTTTTGCAGCCAAATAGTCCTCAGGATCCAAGTATCTAGGAGGCTAGGGGGCTTGGAGTACCTTTCTGTTCAGTTTTGGCCCTGGGCCTGTTGCATCCAACATAATCTCTAAGAGCTAAACTGTGGGGCATGGGTTGAGGTGGAGTTTTCAGCCCTTCAAGAGGACTGACATGACCCTGACTTGGCGACTCCCATTGCCCTCTCTGTGCCTAGAGTAACACTGCAGGCAGCAGATTAATTTCCTTACTTTTCTTTTGGAAATGGGAGCTAGGTACTCTGTTTTGACCTCTTACTTGGTCTCACAGTTCACTCCAATTACTGTCATGGGGATAAATGGGGACCCCACCTTCCCATTTCAGTAAAACCTAGGACTACTTTAGCTCAAAAAGCTGTCTTCTTATCTACTTATCTGCTCATCTACTTATCCTTCTCAGATCTGGTGGCATTTGATGGCTGGGGTACCTGTAGTTCATTAGTTCATTAGTAAAGTTTTCTACTAAAAGTACAGACAGGTGTACCTCTTTTGCAGGCTTCATAGTCAGGGATTAACAGGTTTCAAATGTAACTTGAGAGGTTCAGAGATTTAAATTTCCTCTGATTATCTTCTATGTCCCAATGAAGGACACATTTTCTCTCCTGTCTCACTCATTCACCCTAGCTCCTTCTGTACTACCAGGATACTTCTCTATTCTCTTCCTTCTGACAATTCTTACTCTTTGAATTGCTAGCCATATTCATAGGGGCAATGATAACAATCTATTTTTTCTCTTATCGGCCTGCCTTCACCTCCTTAAGGAACAGGTGTCTGAGGTCTACAGGGTGGCATTTAATAGAATGCTTCTTCACTCATATTACCCACTGAATGTGAGCTCAACAACTCCTGACTCTCCCCCTCCCCTATATAGTTCTTTGTCAGCAGTAAGAAGTCCCACATGAACCAGCATGCATATACACAGAGTCGGGTATGTTGAGTTAGAAGCTTTACCCCAGCCCCTGTCATCCATATACTACTCAAAACGTCTTGGATGTTATGGTGAAGGTTGCACCCAAGCCCCCTCCACATCTCTCTTCAAACCCTAATGCATCTCAGATGCTGAGCAAGTGATGACCACGCCGAAAGAGTTAATAAAGACCACTGCCACAGGGTATATAAAATGTCCACAGGTGAAAAGACTGGTGGTTTTTCCAGTCTCCCTTTTCAGTGAACTCACTGGGGGGGGGCTGGAATGCTATCCAGGAGTGTTGTATCCATTAAATATGGGCTTTTTCTATTTCAGTTCAATTTGGACTGATTTTGATTGCTGCATTGGCAGAGAGGTATATTAGGATGTAGAAATATTTCACTATTATATATCTGTCTATCTATCTATCTATTTGTCATTTAACTACTCATTAGTCATTGATCTTCTTGTCTAGGTTTATCTTTTTCATGGCATATAGGAATTCTTATTGAGCTAGAGTCCGATTTTCAAATTTGCCAACTCTTGTAGCAGGACTGTTTAGACAAACTGATTGCAAATAGTCATGATATTTACTGAAAGTTTAGCTTTAGGAAATACTTATATATTTTTTATTTTATATAACCAAGTCCATTTAAATGAAAAAATTATTGACAATATTTGGAAATTTGGGCATCATTCTTTCCAAAATTAATTCCTGCTGGTAATTCCTCCTGTCATGGGAGATTCTAAGAAGATGCAAATCCTGGCTGTAGTCAGCAAGGATGCTTTGTCGAGCTGTTTTGAATGTAGGATCACCTGGTACTCTGTTTCAGCCTGTCTGGCTTGATCAAACCACATTAGTCTGGAAGGAATCCATAGCATTTCATTTTCTGTGGAAACAAAAATAGAAATCCTTTTCACCAGTAACTTGTCCTTGAACTTAAATTTTGGAGTTAAAGCATTTTTTTAAATTTAATTTAATATTTTACATGTCATTCCCAGTTCCCTCTCTCTCCCTCCCTCCCTCTCCCCTTCCTTCCCTCCTTCCCTCTCTTTTACCCTCTCTTCCCTCTCACATACATTCTAACCACTCTCCCCTCCCATCCCCCCACCGCAATACCATATATAGAGGAATGCCATCCAGTTGGGGTCATCTAAATCTGACAGGTCATGAGAAGTAGGGACTAGGGATTCTCTCCTGTTTCTAGGGTAAGGCAGTTATCCCTCCATGGGGGATGTGTTAGCAAGGTCCTTTTGTGCACCAGGGAAACATCCTAGCTCCACTATCTGAGGTCCCTTAGACTGCTCAGTCCTTCTGGCTGGGACCCATATTCAGGGGAGCCGGAGTTAGTCCCATGCTGGCTTCCCAGCTATCAGTCTGGTGGCCCCTCAGCTCCTCCTTGTTCAGCTGTCTCTATGTGTTTCTACTGCGTTGGGTTGTCCTCTCCATCTGCATCTGGATGCTAGTTTGACTCAGTAGTTATGTATGGGTATGTGCTCCTGTTTCCAACAGTCATTAGATGAGGGCTCCATGAATAAGTTAGTTGTTGATCTCACTATCCGGAAAGGGCATTTATGGTAGATTTTACACTGAAGCTCAAATTGTTAGCTGGCAGCAGTCTTGTAATTCTCTCGGCCTTTCTTTGTGTTCAATTTTATCTTCAAACCAATACTAGCTCCCTCTTTTATGCTCTCTCTCTCTCTCTCTCTCTCTCTCTCTCTCTCTCTCTCTCTCTCTCTCTCTCTCTCTGTCCCTCTCTGTCTCTCTTCTGTCTTCTATTCCTAATCAGCCTCAATCTTCCTGGTCGCATGTGTTTTCCTTTCCTCCTAATTTTCTCCTATTTCTCTCTCCATTCGCTGCCCCCACTTCCACTTTGCTCGGGGGGGGGGGGAGGGCTTGTCCCATCCCGATTCTGCGAGGGACTTTATATGAATCTCTTAGAAAACACCTTGTATCCTAGTATCTCTGGTGGTGTGAATTATAGGCTGGTGATCCTTTGATCTAGGTCTAAAATCCATATATGAGTGAGTACATACTGTGTTCCTCTTTTTGTGACTGGGTTACCTCATTCAGGATAGTTTATTCAAGTGCCATCCACTTGCCTGTGAATTTCAAGATACCATTATTTTTTCTGCAGAGTAGTATTCCATTGTGTAGATGTGCCACATCTTCATTAACCAGTCTTCAATTGAAGGGCATCTACGTTGTTTCCAGATCTTGCTATTAGAAATAGAGCTGCTATGAACATAGTTGAACACATGTCTTTGTTGCATGGATGTGAAACCTTTGGGTATATGCCTAAGAGAGGGATTGCCAGGCTGTGTGGTAAACTAATTCCCATTTTCCTGAGGAACCGCCATAATGATCTAAAAATGGGTGTATGAGTTTGCACTCCCACCAGCAGTGGAAGAGTGTTCCCCTTTCCCCACATCCTCTCCAACATGAGTCATCATTGGTGTTTCCAATTTTAGCCATTCTGGCAGGAGTAAGATGGTATCTCAAAGTTGTTTTGATTTGCATTTCCCTGATAGCTAAGGATGTGGGGCATATTCTTAAGTGTCTCTCAGCATTTTGATTTCCTCTATTGAGAATTCTTTCTTCAGTTCTGTACCCCATTTTCTAATAGGGTTATTTGGTGTTCTGTTGACTAGTGTCTTGAGTTCTGTGTATATTTTGGAGATCAGCCCTTTGACGGATATAGGATTGGTGAAAATCTTTTCCCAGTCTGTGGGCTGCTATTTGGTCTTGTCGACTCTGTCCTTTGCCTTACAGAAGCTTCTAAGTTTGAAGAGGTCCCATTTATTGTTTCTCTCAGTTCCTGTGCCCCTGGAGTTATGTTCAGGAAGCAGTCTCCTACACCAATTTGTGCAAGGATACCTCCTACTTTCTCTTCTAAGAGTTCAATGTGGCTGGATTGATGTTGAAGTCTTTGATCCATTTGGACTTGAGTTTTGTGCATGGGATTATCTGCAGTCTTCTACACACCCTCATCCAATTGTGCCAGCACCATTTGTTAAAGATGCTGTCATCGCCCCATTGTATAATTTTAGCTGTTTGTCGAAAATCATGTGTTCATAGGTGTGATATTTAACATGAGGATTTTCAATTTCATTCCATTAGTCTACCTGTCTATTTTTATGCCAATACCAGGCTGTTTTCAGAATTATAGCTCTGTAGTAGAGCTTAAAGTCAGGAATGGTGATGCCTCCTGAAGTTCTTTTATTGTATAGGTTTGTTTTGGCTATCCTGGGTCTTTTTTTTTTTCCATATAAAGTTTATTATTGTCCTTTCAAGGTCACTGAAGAATTTTGGTGGGATTTTAATGGGGATTGAATTGAGTTGAATCTGTAGATTGCTTTTGGCAAGATTGCCATTTTTACTATGTTTATCCTATCTATCCAAGATCATGGGAGATCGTTCCATTTCCTGGTATCTTCTTTAATTTCTTTCTTTAGAGCCAAAAAGTTCTTATTGTATAATTCTTTTACTTGTTTGGTAAGCATTACCCCAAGATACTTTATGTTGCTTGTGACTATTGTAAAGGGTGATATTTCTCTGATTTCTTTCTCTGTCTCTTTGTCGTCTGAAAAAAATTAGGGCTACTGATTTTTTTTGAGTTTATCTTGTATCCTGCTAGTTTGCTGAAGGTGTTTATGAGCTGTAGGAGTTCCCTGGTAGAGTTTATTGGGTCGCATCTGCAAATAGAGACAGTTTGACTTTTTCCTTTCCAATTTGGAT